ATTACTAAAGTTATACCACCCTATCTCACTGTTAGCAACGCCTCAGAAGGTGCTAGAAACAGTAGTCACTAATAAGATCTTAGCTTTAGTGGAAAAGCACCAATCACTGCCTCTAAATTACTTCAGTGCGCAATGGAGGCGGTCATATAAATAAGTGCTTAACATCCTAGTGGAAAAGATACATGATGCATGGCATGAGGGACAGGTTCTCAGCTTAGTAAGCTTTAATATAAAAGATGCCAATAACAGAGTGGATCGGTGAGTGCTATTGCAGAGACTAGTTAAGCAGTAGATACAAACATCCTAGTCCGGTGGGTCGATAGCTTCTGCTCTATGCGGCGCTTCAATCATAGTAAATATGCATCAGTCTGAAGAAGTGGACATCCAACACACAGGGCTACTGTAAGGCTCGCTGCTTTCTCCAATCCTTTTCCTTTTCCTTAATGAGGGCCTAGCTAATGTTCCTATCACTAAGAAGAAAGGAGCCATCGCATTTATCAATGATTACACACGATGGACAGTAGGCCTGTCTATAGAAGTGAACACAACAATGCTTTAGTAGAAGGCAATCCCATAGGCGTTAGAATGGGCGGCATAATCCAGCACAACCTTAAAGCTGAAAAGACATCTTTCATCCACTTCATAGTAGCGGCAACGGCAACTCCCCGCTATTCCATTATATGTAGACGGTGCAGCCGTCAAGCCGGCGCCTAATGTGAAGATCTTCAGCGTGTTACTTAATCATGAGCTTTAATTTAAGCTATATATGAGAAAAGCTGCTAGCAAAGGAATAAAGGCCGTTCTAGCACTAAGACACCTCCGAGGCCACCGCCATCGGTTGCTCAGCAGTTATTTAACTCCATAGTTGCATTGAAGATCGACTCCGCAGCATCCGTGTAGTGCCCTGCCCGAAAGGATACTATTATTCCCCCCGGAATCGGGCGTCTGAATATATTTAGAGGATTGCAGCTCAGGCTATGGTTGGCATATTCCAAACTACGGCTCTCGCGGTTGCTGAGGCCGAGGCGGGAATTGAGTTGACCTACACACGATTACGTGCACGGATCATAAAGCACTAGATTACCTGCTACACACTATCGATGGACAATCCCTTCTGGCCGTGTCAAGCGGCGGCAGTTGGACAGGACGGCAGCTTCTCCTCACCGCTCAAGATATTGGCGGTCCATGGCCCGCAGTGCTTATCGGATATGGAGGTAATTCAAGCCTTTCCAGTAGAATCTGGCAACAGACACTCTGTGAGTTGATTACATCGGTTGGATCTACTCTAGACAACCTACATGAGACCAGTTATGCCCACCTTTGGCTATTCACCAGTGTTAGCATCCGCAATGGTTTGGTTAGAACTGGCCTGGTCGTCCGCGTTAACCAAGTCGACATTGTCACATCGAGTCAGACAATAGGCAGCGACGACGTGCTAAACGCTCACTACGCCCAGCTGGGCGCAGTTTTAGAGGCGAACTTATATGTCCGGAGGATGCTTCCCCGTATCCAGATGTCACCGAGGAAAATACACATGACAATTGTCGTGAGCAATCCTACTGTTTTACAGTATCTGGCGAAACCACATCTGCAAGGCGGCCAGGTTCTTATCACTCGGGCCATATTTTCTTGAAAGGTTCTACGGCGAAGCCGAAATTGCAATCGGAATTGCTCGAAAGAACTGTGAACTTGGCAGCCAGTACATTGACGAACCAACGACATCCACCATACCATACCGCCTATCGGGTCAGTACCAGCGGTCCATTCGCAAACTCGGTAACAAGTGGCGAAAGTTACTCAATCTCTTCACTTGTTGGGCACCAGTTTCCATCCATGCGGCTTGTGTTAATCTTCTGCGAGAATATTGTGATGCTGTACTTTGTTCCTCTCTCGCTCTCTATGGGCCAAATTTCTGTCGCGGATGACTATGCCTACCCTCACAAAGACCGTTTCTCGTGCTGCTCGCGATCATGCTTGGAATCGCGGCTTAGTGTCGACAACAGAGGATTGACACTGACCCGGGCAGCAGCAGCGATGATTATAGAAAGTCGAGCGCTGAAAAGTTGAGATTTATTGTCTACTTTGGTGGAGTTGGCGGACCAATCCTAGGTCACCGCGGGACAGACCTGTATCCTCCTAGGGTCACATGACGTCTATGACAATCCGAATCTGTCATTTTTCTTGAGACGGGAAAATATACTGCTAAGCCAAAAAGTGCCAAAGGCAGCTTTCCGGTCTTATATAGTAAATTTCTGTTGCGACAGCTTATTGAGAGCCGCAATCAATTGATAATGGAGAAGACATTATCCATTCTTGCTTTTCTGTTGAATCATTAGTTCAGTTTCGGTCATTGCGTCAAGTTTTCATCTGGTATAGTGGTGTCCAAAAGTATTCCAACCCCACCTACCAGGTCCCTTCGACTGAAGCCACCCAAGGCTGTCGGACTGTACTTTAGCAGGAGACCCCAGCGACCTGCTCTGCACGTCTTAGTACGTTATTTGGGGGCTGACGACTAAGAGGGAGGGCAATCGAAGGAGAACTCGTACATCGACAGGGGGTCAACGAGTAGGTCTGTAATTCCAAAATTTCCCTTCAACAATTATTACATAGCTGCGTCTCCGTAAGACTGTCAATTCTTGGGTTGTAAGGAGACACTTCCAATTGTAGGCTTCGGTCGCGCGCTTCCTGACTAGCGTGTTGGCATCTGTACCGACGAACGAACAATCTGAGTTGGATGAGGAGAGGCCGGAATGTTGCCGCTGACGACGCTATAAGGGCTATCCCGACTTCCAGCTCCGACCAAATTATCAAGCCGTGATTGTAGAACAGGTTTCTGGGGTCACGATAATCTCCAATATACGTAAACCTCACTACTGTCGCAATGCTTGCACTGTTGAACCCAAGGGGAGAAAAATTAGCTTGCCACTAAGGAACGTACTATAGTTGATCAAAAGGTATGATGCAGAACATACCAAGAGCCAAAGGCCAGGACAATGGCTATGTAAACTTTCGTATGCAAGCTCAAATGCATACGCCAGACGATAAAAACGGGAATGATACCCAGTACCCAGTCCACAGCACTGTTTATCGCCGAATGGATATAGATAGATACCACTGTGCCTTGTGCATCGCAATTGCCATGAAGAGAAGGGGAAATGGCTTGCTCCCAAAAAGCGGCTACAGGGCGACACTGAAAGAGAAGAAACAGGAGTATGAAGATACCAAAGCATGAGATAAGTAAAAGGACAACATAGATAATCCTCTTGTAGAGATTTTCGACGCAGAACCTGAGGAGAAATATCCCAACAGAAATTTTGACAAAAGTCGTGGCTGCGACATATGAAATCTCACATACCAAGAGAAGCTAGAAAATATCTGTCAGCATAAATTGTACACTTATCAGTCAGTTGATTGAGGGTACTAACCTTTAGTCCCACGCGGAGATTGTCTGGCTGGATATTCGTCCAAACATGCTCAAAAACACCGATTCCAGCAGTTATGAATATAGAAACCGAGCTTAGGATGAAGAAGACCTGAGATGCAATTAGATAATATTCTCCCAATTCCTGATTTCACCATGGAGACAAATGGGGAAAAACCCAGTCAGCGGGAGACATACCAGAGACACCACAGAGAATACATCATCCATGCCAAAACAACGTGTCAAATACAGCAGCACGAAGCATCGCAAACCCACGGTAATTGACGAGAGGCCGAGGAATATTACCACAATGACAACAAGCTCCAGACTTCGGTCCAACATAGACGGCAACGTAAATATGAGGTCACTTCCCGAACCAATTCAGACATCGTCTCATATATATCACCAACGTATTGTCTCCGTTCTTGCAGGTTATGTGGGTGCATACCCATCCTGAAATCTGGCCCTCATGATTTAAATGGGGAAAACGTCATATCATCCAATTTCTGAAGGCGGTAAGAAAAGGGAGGTGGCGGGGGCGATAGTTCAAACTGTAATTATTGGACAATGGTCGACCTCGAATTAAAGATAAACACAAATAGGAACAAACATAAACAAATGGAAGTCGGAATCAGACGTCGTTCCCCTTAGCACCGCTGTAACTCATGTCCTCGGTGCTAACTTCACACCCAGGTCTGCGCAGCTAATGAGGCCGTCGCTTGCCACTGGTGCACTCGCTTTGATCAAGGGAGTACAGTGGACCTGGCACTGCAGTCCTAACGGGCGCCATCTTCTTCCGTTACACTCTTCTGACGGGTCAAACTCTTTCGGGTTCATCTAGCCCAAGAGACATTGGGTCAACTCCCTAGGACTGACCAAAGAGACCTGTCTTGACCATCTAGTCCGTCACTATTGTACACGCTTCAGAACGCGTCAGAAGCTCGTCGCGCCCGGAGGGCGATCCACAGGTCGGACAGAGCGTTCCTGATCTATTCGCGCTCGTCCTGGTATAATGGGCGCTCGAGCAAGACGTGATCGACTGTCTAGTGTCCTATATCACAGTCATATCGTGCTGACTCGCGCCGGTCGATGCGATTCAAATAAGCGGCTAGGCCGACTCGGCCAGTGCGCAGCTACATCAGACTAGACACCGTGGCCTTACGATGGCCTGACTAATATTCTAGGGTTTCCTTTGTCGGTGCTTTGATCAGACATCTTGTTGGCCGGCTGGACTTCTCCTTGGCCCACGCCCTTTCTCACTCGACCTTCGCCTCGGTGCGAATTCGGCGTTTGGATGCGGCCGCGAGACGGATATATGCTCGGCCGGTCCTCTTCTGGACTACGCAAATTGGCCAGCCTCACTATTCGGTGTCTCCGGGATAGGTGGTTCCGTTTCTAAGTCGATTGCGATCGGCTGGGAAGACTGGGATGGTTCCTCTTCCTGTCGTCTCTTTACGCATATACCGACATGTCCAGCTCATTCCTTTCTGGACGACCTGATCTGACCAGATGATGTGCCGTGTTGCCATCACTCTCCGCATTCCGGTAGTGTAGTGGCACGCGGTGGTAGGCAGGGGGATCAGCGAGTGCTTGTTTCGCCTCGGTCATAGCTACCCTCTTCACTGCGCAATCTGACTATGGGCGGGGTCCTCCACCGCAATTGGGACATCTGACCGGTATCGTTTTTCCCTTTGTCGATGGACGCTCCCAGGTCGGGTACCAATGGCACAGTGACCACATTGTCGTTGGAACAGTGTGACTGAATTTGGCCCGGTTTTTCGCATTTCCTGCATAGCTTTGTCCGCCTTTCTCTACGGATACGCACGGCGTGGTGGATTTGCTTTCCCCAAACGACGCCGGTGATGATCGCGCGCTTGGCTACGACTGGGCTGGTGAACTCGAGCAGGATCGCGGCCTCTGCTCGTGGACCCGGCCATGTTAACCAGCCAAGATACTGGATCGCCGCACCTTCGCCCCAGTTGTTCTGTGCAAGCAGCTCACGTACAACGTCAGCCATCGTCTCTGGGATAAGCTTCATCGATCTCACCGGGATATTATATGCCACCATTCCCCATGACGGTTCCTGGACGACCGAGCCTGGTCCGAATGCTCTCAGCCACTCGGTGTGCTTACGGAAGAGCTCCGCTCCCGCAGCACCGCTGGCGTCCATGGCCACATCGCCTGATGGCAGCTCTCGAGCTACTACGAAGCTTGCCCCGCTAGCTAAGGCCGTGGAGCACTTCAGTCGGCAACCGTCGCTCTTTGTCTTTCTGTCCGCTCCACGAGCTCCTTCGGCGATAACGTTCGAATTTGCTCGCGATTCGGTCCAACCTTCACAATGACCTCTCGATCTTCACGGAGCTCAAATTCTGGTACCCCTGGAGATGACGTGCCGTTGCTTCGGGTCTTGGGTGCCATAGCCGTGGCCAAAGAAAAGCAGGTTCTCATGTGAACCATAAGTTGCTAGCGGTAAGTTACCGCTCCATGCTCTGACACCATGATACCCGCTGACCCACCCCAGTTCGATGGACGACATCGCAAAAGGGGCCCGCCGAGTTGAACCACCTGAAGAACAATGGCACGGACGATCGATATGTCACTGGATATATCCGGGCTGTCCGCCAATACGCGCTCAACGCCCAGAGGAGCGACGCCATGGGGATGGCCAAGGTGCTTGAAGCGCTGACCAAGATCAACGCCGACACCGAACGCCTGAACCAGCGAATGACAACCATTGAAGCCTCAACAAGCACTCTATCGAGATCTTTGTCCTCCGTCCCTGTCGATTCTGCGCTGGCGTGGCGCAGTTTCCGAGCCAGAGACTGGCAGCGCGGCTTGGTATTCGTATGTAAGCCTGGGTCTATTTGCAACTCCGGTGTTATAACCGCCGAGTATCGGCAGATTCGACATAGATCCAAGGGTATTTCAACATGCCCTCGACCGCACGCTTTGTATTCAATCAATCTTTTCATATTGAATTGGTCCCGCTTGATCTTTTTCGTCTTGGATGCATACTAATTTATACACATCTAGCTCGATCTGATAGCTTCCTCTCGGCCGCTGGCTATTGTATAGAGTGTGGGTCCCACAAACAAACTATGTATTACGTTAATCAAAGAGCTTATGTGCAGGGTGAACAATTTTTCGGTCATGATTCTGCTCATTCCTTTCCGCAAGTCCCGTCGCAATAATGTAGCGATTCTAAACGATCAGATATTTGCTCCCTAGGCCCACGCCCTCGAGTTCGGTTCATCGAGGACTGTTTCACTGAGTGATGGATATTTCAGAAGCGGTAGTAGGTACCAAATGAGTACCCAATGAGAATAAGAGATTTGCTTTTATTGACCTTAACTGACTCGCGTAAGTGTGGCAATAAGTGCAAAGAAGGTTCCATCGAAGTCTAAACAAATCGGCAACTACTAGAAGGCCCAGGTCTCTATGAAGCAACAATAGGAAAACAATCGAATTAATGAAACATACCATTATAGACAGGGGGCTACAATAGTGCTGTAGCACTATTAGCCCCGGACTTCCGGGCCACCTGCTGTTTCATAAAGCCAGAAAGGAATCGCGACATTTCCTCGTGGTCGTCCAGCTCTCCCACCCAGCTCACATACTGATCAGGACGAAGAATGACGTTGGCACCACGGCTTGGATCAATGCCATAATTGGCATAAGCTTGACCATGTCCCTCATTATAAGACTCCTCATCGACGTAGACCTTCCAATAATCCCAACCCATGTCGCCGTGATGAGGATGGAACGCCTCCGGAAGATCCAGGAGTTTGATACTTGTTTGAGGTCTGGCGTGGACTGTCAAGACCTCGATTACGCTGTCGATCGACTAATCTGGCGGTGTATATCGGCGACCGAATGAATTGGGAGTCTTTTCGCCTAGATTTTACAAGCGCTGCATGTTGAGGTGCTTGGTGAGTCGTCCAGGGAAAATGATCACCTGCCAACGCCTGTTGCTCTTCAACAGTTCTTGCAGATGCCACGGACGTGCGTCCGCTTGACTCAAAACTTTGAAACTGGGCATACGCTTGCCAATATCAATCTTCGTTGCCGGCTCTGGCTTGCTGGATATTCGGACCCCCTGGTTGCCTGATACGTCAGTGCCGTTGCCTTGGTCTGCGGTGTCGCCTTCCTTCGCAACGATGAGACTGGCACCATAGTTGACCGCTGCATAACCGAGATTAGCATTAGGAAATAGATATTGAGAGACATGCGGAGCTCACCGATGCCACTTGTAAACTTGTTTCCTTTCTCAAATGCCCTCCCTCCTAAATTCTTCCATGCTGACTCCCTCTTCATCCAGGACATCCTTGGCCGGGCGTCCTGAGAAAAGCCGCGAAAAGCGTTGGCCGAAAGCAATTAGGTCTCGTGCGATTCGCCTTCTTGCGGACTGATAGGTCTTGAGAATTGGTCCCTCTCTGTAACCCTTAATTACGTGCGCGAGCTTCCATCCCAGGTTATACGCTAATCCACACGTGAGTCTCCGAGCTTGAGCGCTCAGGACCAAGAAAACCTACTGTCTTGCATGCTCACATTCATACCCTGCCCAGCCTTAGGCGAGTGAGTGTGGACTGCATCGCCAGCCAGGAAGACACGTTCGTGCAGCGAAAAACGATCGCCCACACGCTGGCCAATTTGGTACGCGGTCCACCAGTCGCAATACGCGTAGTCAAGTTTATAAGGTTGCAAAATGGGCTGAGCTGATTTCAGGATAATTTCCGGAGTGATCCAGGACCGATCAGCCTTTGAGCTGGCGACCTGGCGACCTGGGGACGTGTATACTCTCCGGGATATGGACTTGCAAGAGATTAGTCATTTCTGGTTTGGTTCGGTAGCTTCGCCACTGAAATTGTATTTTCGATTGTCTTGCGAATGTGGATAGTCTATGAGGGAAAGCATCTGCTTGAATGGTTGTGTGGCATTTTTGTGGGTTGTATCCCAGAGGGATGAGTACTTTTGCTGAGGATATGGATTTAAATTAGCCCCTTATCATTTTTGACGCTAAGAAGCAGATTTGGTTAGTACAGCTCCAAGATCCCAGTGCTTTGGTCACTGAACTTGATGAACACAATCGTAAACTTTCTGGCTTTAGGTTTATTCAAAACCTTCCTTTATTACGCTAGACCAGTGCGCCATCCAGGGCTGGGGGCCTTAATGAACTTGGATTATATTAATGATCTCCAGGTGCCATACTCTTACTCTTTGGTTAGTGGAAACTTTCCTCTGTAAATGGTCAGGCCCACTCCATACTGCCAGTCAGTTCGATCCTCTGGATCAATAAATGGACCGCTTATCCTTTTGTTGGCTAGGTTATTGTTCGTCCGCAGCGGGTCGGGTCATACAAGGGAAGGTAATGACGCCTTCAACAATGCTCTAATATGATAACCCGAACCGCTAAATAAGCCCGTAGAACTTCACTTGTCACTTCGAGGTTCTGCGCAACCAATGCAATGCCATCTGAAGCTGAATAACTAGAAGGATCGTTGACTCTGGAAAGCTGATGCAATCATTGAACCCGGGTTCGTTTGGAAAAAACATCAAGCTCGCAAGTCTGCATGAGAGACGCTGAGACTTTCCCCTCAAATACCTACTTTTCGTCTAGTAATTCTGGTAGACCTTAGACTACTACTTACACTGCAGGTCTGGCCCCACTGCATCATTTCCGGTCAGTTACCGAGTGTTATTTTTTAGGCAATATTGTACCTATCTCTCTACGCGAGATCTATGATGTTCTAGAATAGAGGCATACAAAGCAATTTTACCGAAAGTTAGTCTTATATTCTGATATTGTAATAGATATCTCATACACAAAGAGATTTGTAGAACAGAGTATTTTATAATTTTCCACGAGAGTACTTTGCGTATCTATTAGCTAGTGTATGGCAGGGAGCACGGTTTCGGGTCTGGTGATCATGGATTCTGTTGGCGCTTGGGCTTGGACACTAGCTTCTCCGCGGACCCGGGATTGGTCACTACACAGCTGATAAACACCAGCATGTTAATTATTTCTATCTATAGTGGGATGTCAAAAGTATATGGTGCTCCCCTTTTGGGGGAGGTTCGTGCCCAATTTATGTTGTTTACTTTGATGCCTCGCAGACAACGACCATGTTGGCGCAGTGACAGTGCCACCGGACAAAAACCAACACGTAAAATAACTAAAGCAAGCCTTCGTTGGGCCATTGGCCAACGGGTCAGTCCACGCCGCAGAACTCATGGGGATATAGTATGCTATTAGCCTAATGGACAAAGCTACGTGCGGGGACCAGGACTGGGGGCGCTGAGGCGGGAGCAGAAAGAAAAGAGTTCTTTTGGATGTTGAAAAACGCACTACCTGTTAGCACGCGAAGTAGCTTAGAATGTACATAAGGATGGCAAATCTTCGGGTCTAGCCTTGATCCAAGCTAGTATTCCGCCTCTACCAAATCTACGCATACTACTAAATAAGATCACTTCTCTTTTGGGAAAGTTATGCATTATATGTACTAGGTCTAGACTACTCTGTATAACCTAAGTTAAAAGCAAAATGGACTAGCCTACATCACAAAGGATGACAAAAGAAAAGTGATAGATGTTCGAATTTGCTTAAAGAGTGCCTCCTGGTCTATCTCTTTATTCCAAGATTCACACTGCTATTCTCGAACCTTGGACACCTTTTGATATTAAAGTGTAAGGAGATAGTCATGCAACTCAAGGATAGATTTCGCAAGACCCTCTCTGGCAGATCGCGTTCTTCGCCTGCCTTTATTTACTCGAATCCCTATGAAACCACTCATTCTCGACCATCTGCTGCTTTTACCACGCTTCCCAGTCGCCTCCATAAACAGGATGCACAGGCAGTAAAATCAGCGGAGATGTTTAGTAAAGAGGTGTCGTCTGCGTTACCTCAAGAGGCATTGGGCTCCGCCTGCCGGTTGAACTCATGTGTCGGCCACATCTCGAGTCTCGTATACCCTGAATGTCTACCGGAAAGGCTACCGGACGTGGCTATGATATTGGAGGCAGGCACTATCCACGACGGTATTCTATCCTTGTTTTACTGGTAGACATTGAGGCTAATTGAGGAGGAAGATGTCATCGACAAAGACGAACTCGGGCATACCACAAATTATCATAAAATGGCTACTTCGGCTTTACGGACCTCCTTGGGAGTCGCTACCTTGAGCTCAATACAAGGCTTGAAAGGCAATGCATTTATGTCGAGAAAACTCACTGCATTCATGGCAAAGTATGGGGCGAACGGCAAAGCGCTAATGTCAAGATGCTTGGAAAGCTGGGTCCAGCCACAGGAGTCGATGGTGGAAACAGAGCCTGTCAATTTTGAAGATTCTGTAGCCAGCCGAGTCGTGACTGTCGGGGCAAGGTATGTCTTCTTTGCCATGGCAGAAAATCATCCTAACCTCCTTGTTTCAGGGCGATGTGGGGAATACTTGAATTCTCTCTGGGCATTCAGTTGTCGGACGAGGATATTAGACAGATCAAACATATCTTGGACGTTGCAGACCGCATCTTCGCCAACACAAATGACTATTTCAGCTGGGAAGTTGAGCGCGATAGTGGCCAGAGGGTGCAAAACACGGTCAAGACAGTCATGGACAGGGAGGGTAAATCCGAGCAGCAAGCCAAGGAGAAACTCCGAGCCGCGATCCTGGAGGACGAGCGGAAGTACCAACTCCTAGTGAAACAGTTCGCACTTTCGGCTATAGATGTCCCATCGGATGTGCGGAGATTCCTAGTCATGCTTGAGGTGCTTCTCGGCGGCCATCATATCTGGTGTGCTGCCTGTGAAAGGTACAAATGCCGCGCTCCATCTGTTGGGAATCCCTCTGTTAGGAAAGAAATCTTCATACCCGACAGAGTCGAGGAACCGAATGAGGGCCCCGTAAGTTTGGTAGCCCTTGGCAATTCGGCTCTCCTGGATCCAGTGCACTATATCCAATCCCTACCATCCAAAAACATGCGGTCAAAAGTTATCGACGCCCTGAACATCTGGTTCCAACTCCCCCATCACCTGGTGGACACCGTCAAGGGCATCGTTGACGACCTCCACAACTCGTCTCTCATTCTCGATGACATCCAGGACTCATCTTATCTGCGACGAGGGAATGCCGCAACACATCATGTCTTCGGCTCAGCCCAATGCATCAACAGTGCTACCTACCTAGTAGCGCAAGCGGCTTCCAGGATTATTGTCCATAACCAGCAACATCCATCCCTGATTATCATCTTTCTGGAGGGCCTTAAAGAGCTGGCACTAGGCCAGAGCTGGGATCTTAACTGGAAGTCCACGGGATACTGCCCGTCCACTGAGGAATACATGGCTATGGTTGATGGCAAAACCGGAGTGATGTTCGATATAATCATTCGAATGATGCACTGCTTCTCATCATCCCAGACGGTCCCAGTTCCCGAGTTGAACCGACTTACGAAACTCCTAGGTCGGTGGTATCAAGTAAGAGACGACTATCAAAATCTGCAAGACGAACAGTACACGGCGCAGAAGGGACTCTGCGAGGATCTAGACGAAGGAAAGCTATCGTATCCGCTCACCATATGTTGCAATACCGATCCCAAGGCCCAAAGGATTATCATGGGAATTCTCCGGCAAAGGCTTCCGGGAACACCGCTTCTATTTAACGTCAAGATGCAGATCCTTGACTTGATTCGGCGCAGTGGTGCACTTCAGCAGACGTGGGAGCTCCTCCAGAAATTTAAAAAGCAGGCAGATGCCGCCCTTTCCAACTTGGAAGCCATTACCGGAGTGCCAAACGAGGACCTTCGCGTGGTCCTGACCCTGCTAGGCAATATAACAGCTCCATAGAAGCCTGTATTAATGAATCTTACTCTCTCTGAAATGAAGTCCTATATGATAAAAATATTTTAATAGTCCCGAGGATCCTATGTCCCTTGGATACAAGGCTAGGCCAACACCACCACGGAAAAATACACATATATTTGAACCGCTCCCCGATGGGCATTTCCAAGGTGACAAGATACCTTGACACCATGAAATGGCCACTTCACGTGCTTTCAGCTTCACAAGTTGGGCTAGACACTTTCTAGCCTATTCAATGAATCAAGCTAGAACACTTTGTCTGCATATTTATTTCATTTTGCCTTCCTGGACCAATCGCGTAATTAGTAAAAGTGGTAGTGCAGGTACACTAGTGGACAAATGTGTGTGATACACGGACATGCATCAAGTAAGGTCGATGATATGATTCGTTACTAATGGCACTGTGAGGGTACTGATTTGTAATTGAGGTTAAATAGACATATCAGGGTGAGATTTAACCGTCGGCTCAGGA